GATAAATCAACTATCACATCAGAATTACAAATTGGTTTTATCATGTATTATCAAGATCTAATGGCTCATTCTTACAACAAATATTAGCCAACTCAACAATAGGGGTGATGGTCAACCCCTTAATAAAGTATCTCTGGGTTTCCTACATCTTTGAAACCACAGAGTGGGCCTGTCTAGACAGTGCCATTTAGATCTATTTATTTATCCTAGGCACACTAGGATTCTCACAGTTCTCAGGAAGATATTATTACTCCTCTATCAACTTGATATTTTCCTGATTTGATATTTACTGACATGGTAGTCATTAACAGTCACAGAAAGTCCAGAAGAAAATTCAGACCCAGTTTTCTGCCTTTATAAACAATTTTGGGATTTCCCAAGCAAAATCATGATTAAACTGTTCAACAAACAGGCTGAGATACTGGACCATTAATCTCACCAAGAGAAGCCTTAAAGGCTTCTGAAAACCCTAATGCAGGATCAAACGAAGTATCAAATTCAGCTCTGGCTGAACTTACATCAGACATGGCACAAACTCCAAAAGGAGGCCCGTACATGCACTGTATCATTACAGTAGTTCAGATCAAAATCTAGAACTTAATCTTCATTAAAGTAAGCCTCTAATGGCAAAAATGGAATAAAGCAGCAGGGTTCTCTACAACCTCTGCTTGAGTGGAAGGCAGAGAAACTGTCTCAAACCTCATGGTTCATACAGGCTCTTTACTACATTTAATAATAATGAGTCAATGTATCAATCTACATGCCTATTTTAAATCTCAAGTGTGCTATCTCCTCTTGAGAAATATTCACAAATCTAGGATATTTTGAAGCTATACCAGTAGCACTAGATTTTAAAACTTCCTTTTGACAGGTTTTGTTGCTTTGTCACATGTCATTCATTTCCAATTGCAATGCCTTTTATGATTTTTTATAAAACTACTAGGTTCTATAACTGTTTAAGAAGAGGATTTATTCAAAATACCTCTAGTTTTCCTATTAAATTTATCATCTTTAATTTCTAAAACAACCCAGAGGTGATGAAAATCAAAGCCATCATTCTAAACATCTTGCTAAAGCAATACATCTGCATTATCAAATTCAGCCATTGTAATAAAATAATGTGTACCTGTACAGGTAAAACACGTGCTAATTCTGAAGAGTACTCACGACCTTCAGGTAAAAAGAAATACTTTTAAATATCTACCTGTTTAACAAACAGGAGTTAATGAATTAAGTAACACATGTGCCTTACATCGTAGGCAAAAACTTAATGAATATAAAAAATTGTCATACATCGTAGACAATAAAATTTTTAATTCATTTCCATCAACACTTGTCATACATCGTAGACAAGAAATTTTTAATTCATTTCCATCAACACTTGTCATACATCGTAGACAATAGAGAAAATATTATGTCTAATTAACATATTAACATTAGCACTTGTCGTACATCGTAGACAAGTTAAATGTAATTGAAGTAACTTTCCCCTAAATCTAAGATAAAAAATAAAATAACTAAACAGAATTCAAGTGAAGTGTTGTGTTCACTTCACACCCTCTAGAAAAATAATGACAAGTTATTATGGAACAGGTGCTTATATACTAGGGTCAAGGTCACTGGCCATCTATGGTCTGGTGGTTATAGTTTGTTTCTTTAAACAGAGATATTACATGTAAGCTTCACCCCTCATAGAGAAGTTGAGCTTATTCATTACTTGAGACCGAAGGCGAAATATGAATAAGAATTATTATTTTTCAACTCATCAAGTTTGTTTAATTGTATATAATAATGGCAAATTAATATACACTGTTACATGAAGTTACGATTGTGATACAAACGTGAGTACACGTGAGTAGTCAATAAAGATAAGGTTTTGAATGTCAGTATCACATTCTTATTTCAAAGAGCCTCTGAGGTATGACATTTTAAGATTTTGTTTAAAAGAATTGGGTCGATACTACTGCTGGTGAACATCCGTCCCCATTGGTATCATCAGCTTTATAGTCAATACGTCGGTACTGACATGATTTATAACAAACATTTATTCAGGATTATACACCCTTTTGTAGTTATATTGCTAAATACTCTTTATGATCAGGAGATGGGTGTCCCTCAGGGGAATATTTATTGTTACATTGTTCAGTTTAATAAAACAAAAACAGTCTTGTTGAAGTTCAGAAAGCAATATGGAAGGTATCTGTACGTTTATGATTTTGTAATCTGTTGATTATATTAGTGGATCGGAGTATGAAGACAGGGTATCGTCAGCTGCTGTATTTTAGGTGACACCGCTGCAGCTATCGGCTTTCCTCCTGTTACATCCATCTTTATTACAGAATGCATAGGCAATAACTCTAGCTTTGCAGTTTATTTCTGCCTCTGACAAATCATAGTTTATCATATGTTCTGATTCGCTATCATATCTTTAACCAATGCAAAATACCAAAATTGAAAACCTATCATTTTAAAATATCCTTTACGTTATGAAAATTGGAAAATTCGGAATAAAATATTATATATCTTTGCTTGCCAAATCATACCGGCAATCACGGAAAAGGTAAAACAACAAAACATTAAGACGGGTCTTTACTGAGATTGGTCATAATTTGTGGTTCACAACAGTGCAAAAACAAGTATGCTATATAAGGTTGCACTTTGTAAATACAGCTGTTTCGCAAACCACACCTCTTTTGGGGAGATATAGAATGTTCATAGATAATTAATTTTCTTTACATACTGGTTCCCAGTTATGATCTCTATGTTTCATCTCATAGAGACATAACTTGGGAATGTTACCAGTAAATATACATATGCATATTGTTTATATTGAAATCTGTGGTAATCCTACAGTTAAGGTAGGGGTAGTCAAGAAATTTAGTGTTAGTTTAAACTCTTAGAAGTTCTGGGCATATAAACGTTGAAAATATGCCGCACAGCCCTATATTTTGACCTTTAAAAAAAAAAAGAAGTTCCATTCTAGGATATGATTTTTTTCAAAACTTCATAGTAAAAGTGGTACAGTTTTAGCCGTAAAAGGAGTTCTTATTGGAAATTGCATTGTCAATATTTACAGAAATGCAACCTATAAAAGGGTGCAATTAGTGCCGATTGGAATACCTACAACCTGTCGATGAACTTTGTTGCCGAAACGTACGAAAATATTAAGGAGAACATTAACAACTGCATTCAGATTTACCAAACGACCATTTAATTCAATACAAAACTTTTATTTGATAAAATTGTGTAGAAGTGTAGTGTAAAGAGTAGAAAAGTCAAAACTGTCAACAGAATCAATTTATTTAAAACATCAAAAGATAAATATTTCAGTATTCCGGAAGACCCTCTTTCACTGTGGACAGAAGTTTTGTCAATCTAATTGATAATTACTTCGTAAAACATGCAGATGAGCCGTCGGTGTATCATTGCTTGTACGGAATTGTGTGAGGCTTAGGCATCCAATACTAACAAGGCAGGTCCTCATATTGTAGGGTTCATTGAAGCCATGAAGGACTTATAAGTCGCCAAAATTTCATCCTGTTAAATGATATGTGGGATTAGCTGAATGATCAATTATTTCGAACTCTTTTACAAGACAATCGTAGTAGTACAACTTACAAAGGCAACACTATTTGAAGCTTTGTTCGCAACAACCACAACTTACTTATCGGGAAGAGATGGTATATATTTCATAGCTTCTTTGTTACATAAACACAGTTTTTCAAATAATGAACTCTGCGTTTAATCGGTACCTGATTGTTTTGACCCATTCTGACAACGTGTCTTGTTCAACTTTATCACAGTCTGTGGCGAAGTCCTCAGAGGATTCCATATTTATTTTTTTTAAGTTATGGTTTCAATTGATGTGTATGGGTTCTCTAAAATTAGAACTTTGATATATCACCTATCTTGAATCATGTTTAAATCCCCAGTAATAACATGTCCAGAGGGGGTGTAAATATAATGTCAGTTGAAACAGTCACATGTCAGATATTTTTAAAATGTATTATTCTAAATCAAGATCATCCATTGCTTGCCTATAATTGAATACTTGACTTTAATAACTTTGCGTCACTGTAGGATACAATAGGGACAGACTAATTTTGAAAATAAAATAAATTTTAGATCTTACCTCTTTGTGATAAAGAACATTGCTGATAATGATTGCATCAATTCCTTAATTTGAATATTTAACTGGACGGAATGTCCTCTTTTCATCATGTGAAGGTTCCTCTCCTACTGGTTTTACAGAAGGAAAAGAGCTACATAATAAATTATACTGACTAGTATGGAAACAAAATTGTAGATCAGGAAGCAAAGAATGCCCAGAACGTGGATTATTGGAATGTTAAATACCTCATAATTTTAAATCTTATATAAGAGAATATGTTCTAAATATAAGGAAACATGTTTGTACTAAAAGGAACGATAATAAATTAAATGATGTTAAACCAACTATATGCAAACCTTTAAAAAAATGTATATGAAGGAAAGATTTTTTTTCTAGATGCCGTATTGGTCATGCTAGAATAGCACACGCATATCTTTTAAAAATGAATTTCAACCAGTTTGTATACCTTGCGATTGCAAGTAAACAATTAAACATATTTTGACTGACTGTTTTGAATTTTCCGAGAACCGGGACAAATTTATTGTTTACGTAAATAATATATGTATGATTTATTTAATAATATTCAGGTTGAAATAAATGTTTCAGTTTTAAAAGTAATTGGTTATATTTCAAAATATGAATCTGATGTAGGTGTTAAGAATTAATTTATTTGTTGAATTGTTATCTGTAAATGAATACTTTCGCTCTGAAATATAGTTTTAGTACATTGAAAGAAATTTTTGTTTGATTTAATATTAGAAATGGCTTTCGCTGCGATATAGCCTTTTTGTGCTGATGCGACGATGATAGTTGTCTAATTCAAGTATGCAGTGATTTGAAAAAAATAACATTGTCAAAAATTACTCTTTAATTAAATCATTCTTTTCAGAAGAAGATGGGAATTTCAAGCGGGATAGTTGCAAAGATAATATACATGGATGCTAAGGAAGGTGAATTAGAATTTAAAGAAATATTATCAATTGTTTATTTTTCCTTCGTTTAAAAAAGTAAGAGCTAAATTTATTTATTGAATAACAAAAATAAAGACCGATTTACTTAATTGATAGCCCTTCAAACTTTTTTTTTTAAAGAAAATTGATATACGTTATTATGTTAAACCTCTTGCTACGGTATTATTAGTCAAGACTCAAGAAAAACTAGATATCAATGAGCAAGCGAAACGTAAGAAAAAGAAATTTATAACATCAACGCTGCCAATTCATTGCACATGGTTCGCATTTCGACAATAACTTCTGATTGACCGTGGCTAACATTTTAAAATAAATGTAAACGAATTAAGAGCTTAACTTATGCATAAAAATTGAAGACTTGCAACAATTCGACACATCTTTTAAACAGAGATAAAACAAATCCATAAAGAAAGCAAAATTGTTTTTTCAAAACTAGAGTATAGATTTACTTATTAATTATTCATTTGAGCAAACGCATATCTTTTGGAAAACAAGACTTTTGTAATTATCCTTCATACGACTTTTTTTTTCCATCTATAAAAATGCCATGTGCAATAAAACACACCCTTTATAGCTGGTGAGAACAGTCTTGCCATGTTCTGCAAAAATATTTTGTCGGTGAGAACAGTCTTGCCAAATTCTGAGATTAATACTTACATTGCTAGTATGAGTAAAAATACAATTCGTCCTTATTTACGGAATGATCAGTCTCTAACAAAGTGAATCTGTTTCACAATTGTTTTTAAACGCCTCAATTTTGAAGGCACAAGCTTTGACTTTTTTGTTCTTTTCAAACTCCATCACATGATTCATAACATACGCGACCGCAAGGGTGACTGGGGATACGTAATATGGTCACTTGGTCTTCTTCCGACCGGAAACGCTTGCCAAATTAGGGCGTCCGTATGGCTGTGCGGGATGAATCAAGTTTGCAGTCACGTCCGGCCAGAATGGGGACGATAAATCCGATGCCTCGTGCCACGCTCTTTGCACGTTAAGAACCCTTGTAACAACTCTTTGAGGGGTCCGTAGGTGGCCTGAAAATTATTGTACCTATCGAATATACCCTCATTTTCTAGTGGCAGTCCAAATTTCCCCGACCATAATCTCGGATGACCTCTATGACAAGACCTTCCTATTGTATTTATTGTTAATTTGTTCTCGTCCTGAACATGCATGAAATTTTTGCCATTGGACGTTAAGCAATCAACAATCAATCAATCATTACATACGCCAATAACTCATTCAACAGCTGAAACATTTAAACTTTCGTTTTCTGGAACTGCTAATATTCAAGATTGATTGATTGTTGGTTGCTTAACGTCCAGTGGCAAATATTTCATGCATATTCAGGACGAGAACAAATTAACAATAAATACAATAGGTAGGTTCTGTAATAGGGGCTTCCGGGATTAAGGTCGGAGAAATTTAGACTGCCACAGGAAATGAGGGTATATTGGATAGGGACAGAAATTTAGCCTTGCAACAGGTCACCTACGGACCCCTCAAAGAGTTGTTGCAAGGGTTCTTAACGTGCAAAGAGCGTGGCACTCTCTTTACACGAGGCATCGGATTTAACGTCCCCATTCTGACCGGACGTGACTACGAATTTGTACATCCCGCACAGCCAAACGGACGCCCCACTTTAGCGAGGGTTTTACCGCCGGTCGGAGGAAGACCAATGGTGACCATATTTCTATTCCCCAGTCACCCTTGGGGGGCTAATATTTAAGAAGTTTCTATTATTATTTATAATACTTTAGTTCAAGACAATGTAAAAGATTGTTATACAAGAGGATTTTTTTCGCATTATGCTTAAAGTAAGATTAAAACATCATAAACAGTTTTTGCAATTATAACTACTAATATCAATGATATATATTAGATATGGAATATCACTAGGGTTGATGATGATTAGAACATAAAAGAGACAAATAGTTACCATTTTTTATATCTTCAGTTTTTCTTTGTCCAGTGTCAACAGATAAAAATGCTTCTCTCAATTTCTTCCTTTGGGATTCATCTGGCCAAAATTACAACTGCTCTGTTGCTTTTAAGGGTGAGGGTTCTACAGCTTGCTTAAACGTAAGGCCAGTGAGACTGCTAAGCTCTATTTAATGCAATTGCCCAAGGCCAAACTAAGGAGTTGCTTGAAATGGTTGTTCAAGAAAGAGTAGTTAAAGCTTCTTCGGTAGACAATGTCAATTTCGATTTACTATAAACAGTCACGAGCTTATACAGTTTATCTCAAGACAATACTTTAAAATAAAATTGAGAATGGAAATGGGGAATGTGTCAAAGAGACAACAACCCGACCATTTCTAAAAGCAAAGACCTTATAAATTAGGAAAACAAATGAGCCATCACTGATTGTTATTGGTTCTTTCATTTTTCCAAACACTTCGGTACAAGTTTTAGGAATGTTGGGGACACACTATGTATTTGCATTGTAAATGTCGTTTGATTTTATTAGAAAATCCCAAATACACCGTTTGGTGGTGCACCTGACAGATGCGGAATGTACAGATAAGGTAATAGGCAACATGTGACATATAATGACATGACTAAAAGGAAATCGCATCGGATAGTTCCTGAATTTATTAATTTGTCTAATTGCTTAATGTTTGAAACAGTAATCGATGTAACAAGGTAAAATTTTCAGTAAACCCTATCGAGTATATATATACTTATATAAGTTTGACTTAGATATTTAAAATAACAAAAAACCGTAAAATTACTCACTTAAGGGCATCAACCCAATAACGGGCTGTCGGATTCGTTTGAAAATTTCAGGGCAGATAAATCCAAATCTGGTGAACGTCTTTCCAATCGGTCAGATTTACTTAAAATGCCTTAGTTTCAGAGATATAAGCCAAAGACTGCATTTTACCCTGATGTTCTATTTTTAACCATGTTGGCTGGAAGACGGGGCCATTGACACACTTTATATGGCGAAATTTCTAGAGAGATCCAACCTTGACGTTCAATCTATGGTTGAATGTCCCCACCTATACATCTTAGGACGATCTATAGTACAGATGATGAACAGTTAAACTTTGTTGCAGAAAGGGTCAACGATCTTATGAACTTAATGCAACCCACATGTATAGGAGGAATAAAAATCACCGATGAACTCAGAATTTTCAGTGATGATGGACCAGCACGCCATTTGATGCCGGCTAGCAGCAAGGAGGCGATTTTTCGTGTATTTTAGGTATTCAAGCATAAGACCACAGAAATCTGCATTGTGAATACAATACTAGCATGAAAAGAGACAGATTTTTATTAAAGATCTCCATTGGAAGAATTTATCTGATAATTCATGCCCTCTATCTCATCTTAAAAAGGATGACATTGCAGAAGAGTTAGACGCTAGGGAATACAACACTAACAGAAAATCTAAATATAGCTTGGAACAACAACTAAAAAATGAACTGAGGGTATTTATATTTCAGTTGACACATTTTGGAAGGGTTCAGTGGGATAAAAAGATGACATTTTACTCTGACAAGATTTCAGGCTTCAGTTAACAAAGACATTTGTATTCTGAAAAATCACTACAAAATATTTTGAAGGATATGAAGAATGAGTGTTATACCCGTTTGATGTAGTGTTTTTAGTAGAAACATGTGTATATGATATGATTATTTCTGAAACTAATCAATGGACAAAATTGTATTCAATGTATTTATAACTTACTTTTTTATTCTTTTTCAGGAAGAATATGAGGCCGACATCAGAACAGGAGGAGTAAAATGCATTAAGACGTTGAACATTTTGTTAATGTACGTTTTGTTATTTCTTATTAATTGTAACTCGGGGGTTCATGCAGTATATATTGTACCACCTCTGTAGTCTTCCGGAACACCGCAAATCTTTTCGGATTACATCGTCAGTTAATTAATTTGGGATGCATAAGTAAAAGCTGTGTTCACATTGGAGATGAGATTAAATGTGAAAAAAAATTACGATCAATCTCAAGGTGAAAGGTATATCTAACATAAATGTTTTCGTTGCTATAGCATATATGTGCTCTTTGCAATAAAGTATTCATTCATCCATATATATGTCCCTGCTTCAAAATAGAAAGGGCATTTTAATAATTTTAATAGTTCGCAGTCCATTTAAAGCATGAACCTATTAAAATTACTTAGGTTTGTAGGTGGGTTTAGCTTTTATTTTCGTTTCAAGATTGAGGAGTACAGTAAGAAAAAATATCAATTCTTGAATGCCCTCATCAAAGTAGAAACAAATTGAAAAACAGAATAAAGATACAGCCATGAAAGCCATACGAATGCCTATAATTGATTATGTTCTCGAAATTTAAAGGGCTTAGCTCATTGTTGAAGACAGTACTGTGACCTATAGTTGTTAGTTGTTAATTTCTGTTTTATTTGGGCACTTGTTAAAAAGAATTGAATCGTAATTTCCTGTCGATATGCACAACTACATAGTATGTCCTTATTATCTAAAAAGGTTTCGTGAAATTCTGTTGTGTGGCTTGAGAGGAGTTGCGATGACAAGAAACAGGACGGACGGACGGACAGACAGACAGTCGGACGGACGGACGGGTCAAAAACATTATACCCTCCGCAACTCGTTGCGTGGGGTATAACTATCAAACATCATCTTGGAATTTTACTTGCTGTTTTCAGAACAAGAGAAAATAACTTTTTATTACTTTTATTTATATCAGATGTAATCCCCTCATATCCTCAGGGTTGACACCCCTCAGATTGATTGATTGTTGGTTGCTTAACGTCCAGTGGCAAATATTTCATGCATATTCAGGACGAGAACAAGTTCACAATAAATACAATAGGTAGGTTCTGTAATAGATTAAGGGATTAAGGTCGGACAAATTTAGACTGCCACTGGAAATGAGGGTATATTGGATAGGGACAGAAATTTAGCCTTGCAACAGGTCACCTACGGACCCCTCAAAGAGTTGTTGCAAGGGTTCTTAACTTGCAAAGAGCGTGGCACTCTCTTTACACGAGGCATCGGATTTTACGTCCCCATTCTGACCGGACGTGGCTGCAAATTTATACATCCCGCACAGCCAAACGGACGCCCCACTTTAGCACGGGTTTTACTGCCGGTCGGAGGAAGACCAATGGTGACCATACTTCTATTCCCCAGTCACCCTTGGGGGTGACACCCCTCAGATATGAGAAGCTTACATCTAAATAATTGCATGTTGATCAGCAGAATAAGTTAACGCTGATTTTATCTATTTTTTTTTTTTCAAAATATTAGCCAAAAATGTGCTTCACCGAGCGAAGCTGGATACGACCGCAGAGGTCCAATCCTGAACAGTTGGGGCAGAAATAGACACAATATTCAAGCTTGATACAGGTCTGAATTTTGATTTTAGTTAAATATTTGACACATTAAAGGTTTCTGTCACAGAATACATGTAGCCAACGTACTTGAAATTAGTTAAATGATTTGAATTTATTTTCAATTGAAGATTTCTTCTTGTTGTTCAATTCACTGTGCTGTTGCACAATACTTATAAAGTAAAAGCAAAATAAATTGTGAGATAAACCTAAAATTTGATAATTAGGATATTACTGGAGCGGCTCATATATTAACTATCTCTTTTCCTGGCACTCCTATATAAGACAGGTGTTTCCCTAGGTATATGTCTCGCCAAAAGTGCGCATGTGACATGGTTGTCAACAAAAGAAAACATGTTTTCAGGGATTTCATTTGATTTCTGGATTATACTGCTTTTAATAATTTAGTTTGGATATACATGTATATGCATTCAATTAAAGGTAGTCGAGCATTTGTATTAAAAAAAGTTTTTCTACCAAAACTTGGTCATGATCGTTCATTGGATATAATCTTGTTCAACCATGCGATACATTGTCAATAAATCAATCAGCTGTCAATATGTCCTATAGCCATTGGAATTCATCCAGCCATGTGATCAAGATATTATTCGCAACTTAAAGCCTTCTATCGTAGTAACATGGTCAGGAAGGTGATAAGCATAATAGAAGCATCAGAGGTTACACTGATTGCAAACGCTCTTGCACGCAAATTAACATTAGTAGATGCAGTTCATCTACTAAAGAAATCTTGGAGTTGTGTCATTACAGCAACTATCATCAACTGCTTCAAGAAAGGTGGCTTCGTTGTTCCTCACCTCAACTTACAAGAAGAGAAGAGTGAAGATGATAGAACTACTTTCACACCACCCGAGATGACCGATGTGAATTCCAATAATTCGTTGACATGGACTTGGACCTCCAAGCCACGGGTATGCCAACTCAAGAAGATATTTGTGATTTTTATATAAGTTTTTATGATAAGCAAACTGGGGTTATCTGTACCTATGGACTTGCTCCCTCATTTATATACATGCTCAAAAAATATTTTTATTTTTTTATCATTTAAAAACTTTATATTGACTGTTTACTTTTAAGGCCTCACCTGACCAGTTAAAAAGAGTCAGGAGCACGGGTGAAGTTGAGCCATCCAAATCTGTTTGTGGAGAAAGCTTGTATCATATCCAAACTGGTGATATTGTACATTTAAGCAATTGCGTTGAAACAGACATGAACCAACAAGTACCAGCTTTTGTCCAACAAGTATTTGTCCAATGAATCCAGCTTAGCCAAGACCATGACCTATGGATTTGTTTACCAATAGTTTTTGACAGCGTTTAACATATTCAGTCATTACTATTGAAATTACAGAGTTACTCTGTGTGTACATGACATTTCGAGGCAGATTAAATGACGTTCACACCAGTTGGCATTTCAGTCGAGAACGAAGAGGGGTCTGCAAGAAGTCATGGTTTTAGATGAGCATAAAGATACGGTAAAGTACCTTACAGGACTACCAGGATATCTAGCTCATATGGAAGCCCATTCTTCAAGTTCGCCGTCAAGTTCAAGATTTATTGATGTTCTTAAGCAGATTAGGTTAGAACAGATGAAGGCCAACAGTAGGGTTGAAACTATGAATAAATGGATAGATGCTCTTTAAGAATGTGATTAAGAATATCAATATGATTTCGATGCAAAATATCGCTTCTATGGGAGGGTATCCCGATTTTTCGAGTGCATACCCCGTCCCGTAAATGATTTTCTGGGATAGTTTTTAAGCAAGTTGGAGGTTTAAAGTTATTTACAGAAAAATTTGTTTATTTAAATTTAGATGTAAATACTCAAAAATTAAAGACTTGTCAACATTTCCTAGAAGTTAATACAACATTTCAATACTGGTATATATGATAGGTTTATTTGAATATTATATTTTCACACGTTAACGGACAGAATTTGGAAAATGAAAATCAATAGTGCAGCTAATAATCATCCTACTATGCTAAAAATGGACAATCGCTAGACTGAAAGGTATCACACCAAACATAAAAAAAACCCCGCACGTATAAGGAACCCATAACTGATAGTGTGATATACCATAATAGATAAACAAAGCAAAACGCATGTGGTAATGAGAATGCGCTATCCCTTGATGCACTTAGCACAAACAATAATAACGAAAACACGCCCAGTAATGACAATCCAGTTTTGATACTACCAATGATAATCAACCTGGGATAAACTTCAATATAGTCCGCATACAATGCAGTGTAAAACACGAACTGTGGGACGCGAGGAACACATTTCAACTTTTGAAACTTCAGTGAACATGGTGGGAACAGCGCAGACATTTGCTGTCAATATTACAATTGTTCAACTTTCCTTTGTTGATAGTTTGCTTAGCTATTCATTTATTTAAAGTAATATTTAAGATCTAAGATGGTCCGATTTTGTTATGGTCCGATTCATCAGGCATCCCTTTTACATGTAGCCCTACATAAATTACTAATATCAGGTTTTGATATATACATTTTGACATATGTGTCATGTAAAGATAGTTAAAGATACTCTGGTTTGTAGGGGATCCAACTGCTATGTTGACTCAAATCCAGAATGAACAACTTGAAGTAGAGGAAGACATTGAAGAAGACAAAAGAAGGACGATATTTACATGTAATGATTGTGGCAGTTGGTTTTTATCCATGCAAAAATATAAAGAACCTGCTTGCTATAGAAAAGATAAATAATTATTACCAAGTCATTTATTTTCAACTGTCAATTTGAATTGACCACGTGGATCACTATGTTACGGAATAACGAGCTAGGGAAGTCAAGAGGGAAATCCAACAAAACGGAAATCTATGAATAATATCACTCTGACACAGGAAAACCAATAAAAACATGACAAAACAAGAACTATAGTACTTGCAATATGAACTCGCACAAAATATAATTTGTTGAGTTTTATTACATAAATAGTTCGTTTATAATATATATAATTAAAAGTTTTACATTTTGTTCAAACACTTCCTGTCTAGAGCCTGTCCAGAACTACCCGAATATTAGTTCCGAACAGAACTTTCCACTTCCTGTCCGATACTACTCCAGAATTACTCGAAAGCTTGTTCGGATCAGGTCACGAATCATGGATTGATTGATTGATTGTTGGTTGCTTAACGTCCAGTGGCAAATATTTCATGCATATTCAGGACGAGAACAAGTTCACAATACACACAATAGGTAGGTCTTGTCATAATAGAGGCCATTTTGGATGATGGGGGGGGGGGGAGGGGAAATTTGGACTGCCACTGGAAAATGAGGGTTGTTGGATAGGGAAAGAAATTTTGCCTTGCAACAGGCCACCTACGGGCCCTCAAAGAGTTGTTGCAAGGGTTCTTCACGTGCAAAGAGCGTGGCACTCTCTTTACACCGGGCATCGGATTTAATACCTCCCACACAGCCAAACGGACGCCCCACTTCGGCAAGCGTTTTACTGCCGGTCGAGAGAAGACCCAAGTGACCATATTTCTATTCCCCAGTCACCCTTGGGGGGGGGGGGGGGGGGGGGGGGGCACGAATCATGAATGGGGCCGATTACTTTGAAATGTAATCGTTTACATTTTCACCGATTTCAAGTGGAATTGATTATATTAGATTAATTTTCTTCAATGAAATCATGATTACTAGTGAGTCCTTATGATTTTATTGTATATTTTGATATCAAAGAAACATTTTTATACATTTATTCTTTACATAAACGAAATATATTTATTGAAAAAATATGTTTTCATTATCATAAATATATACATGTTTGAAGCATTGTCTGTAATAATGCTTATAATTTTTTCTGCAATATTGTAACAAGCAGCTGTCTCTTCATATTCTTGGCGTATATTATCACAGTGTTTCCCCGTAAAACGTTTGCATGATGGACTTCGTGCACCAATCAAGAATGAAGTGACCTGTGATTCCAAATTTACCTTTCATCTGTCGATTAGACCAAAGTCAGACACACACTTTCTGCTAAGCGTATTTTCCTCTTTATATTTGATTGAATATTGCTTGCTTTCTGATGTAATAGTTTGGTGGAAAGATGTTTCCTGCTAGAAAGTTGATATTTTGGATTCAATGATTCAACAACGGCCTTGAATTCAGGACTCTTTACAACTGAGAGTTGTGTTAAATTTACAGCTACAAATGAAACAAAAGCATCTGTAATCTGCATTTGAGAAGCATTACTGGCAGAGTATTTTGAAACTGATGTAGATTTTGTAAAGTTGTTTATATTTGTTTGGGATATCTATGTACCATCTATCGACCATTCAGTCGATTTGTTGTCACTTGCCTAAAAAATGAGTTTTTGTATAGGTACGTTTGATGACTTCATTCTTTCAATTGTTCTTTTCTATCAATATCACAAAAACTGAAGTGGGTAAGAATAGAAATAACAACTTTCAAAATATGTAGAAATAGAGTAAAAAAGAATGTGAATAGACTGTTTAGGACTCCCGCAAATAATTTACATGATATTGAAATTTTGTTTTCTTTTGTAAGAGTTAAGAGACTAATCGTGACATTATTTCTTGACTGGAATCTTTGAATATCTATCCCAATCTCCATTACATCTATATGCATGTCTACATTTCAACAGGATGTATATGAATATAAATACTTGTATATAGCGCGGTCTTTCACTCATATTTTTCAGGCATCATGGATAAAGACATGAGATTATTCTTGAGAAAGCGAACGTTCAAGATGAGATTAATAACAAATTGAATGAAGATAAGGTAATCTTGTTACATAAAGGTCGAAGGCCAATACATGTTTAACCAAGCCTCATTTTATACACTTTATGTACTTATTCCCATTAATGGCCTTTCAGGGGGCAGCTACAAGTATACAATTATTGTATCAAATGAATGACTTCCATTATTGTAATATAGAGTTGGTTGATATTTGCGTAATGTAACATGGTCTGCTTACTGTTCTTTTCCCTCAGACTCTCAACAGACGAACTACATCTGTGAGAGCTGGTTCTGATTTTTACATGTTCAGGGGAAACTAGCTTAGAACAATGCCTTTAATGGTGTATGGCATTGCTGCCGATGTAAAGGCAGGCCGGGCGTTGTTGCCGATGTAGAGGCAGGCCGGGAACAACAACAGGAAAGAAAACCAAACTATAATATCAAGAAACTCGCTATTAATATTATAGCGGCTTGATCAGTTTATATACTAATTTCTGAATGTCCTAGTAACCCTTAACTGATTGCAACAAACAAAAGAATGAATGTTTTATGAGTTATAAATAAAGTTGCTGACGCAGGTTGACCGCTGTCTAACTTCTAAGACCTTATGTTAAACTCTGCCAGACATACAACTGGAGGTCAGTCTGGCATCAGCCGAAGTTTTATAGAACAGATAAGTTCAATAGTTTATTAGAGTACTTATCTGACACATTTGAAACATAAAATCAAAGGAATAATTGTAACGTCATTTATATCTAAAATTTATGTCAAATATCTATCACAATATATCACTCTCCTTAGAAATTTTGGACTCCAAAATTAAATAATTAAAAAAAAAATATTTTAAAGAAATTGCATACAATTTTATGTTAACTATATTAATCTGAAAATGGATTTATAACTTTTAATTATTAACGTAAATAAATAATTAATATCCATATTAAACCTAAAAACAATATAGAAGACAAGCAATTGAGTAGATTGCGATGCAAAAAATAAAATAAAGTATAGTATTTTGTTTTTGATTTTAAGCGATAAAAAAAAACTTGAATCCTCTTTTTTTAAATATTTTTCTCTTTTTTTTTTTTTTTTTTTTTTTCATTTTCGAGACTGCATGTTAATCGTTCTGTTTAATTGGTGTTTTTTTTTTGTAATTCTTTATAAATCAATCGATGTCTATGATGTTACAATATTTTGGTATTAATTTTAAATCGTTGCTCTTGAAAGTTTGTTACCCGCATGCTTACAATTGAACGTCTATTTTTACAGTTAATGAAATTTAATTAAAAATATATGCAAAGTGTTTTAAACAAAATGTTGCAAAAATATATGAAATATGAAAAGACTAGAATAAAACTTTAACAGAATTTGAATTGCTTACTTCAGTCTCTAAGTTACTGTTTAATCGTTTTTATGGCGTTCCTTCTTCTGAGGTTACCCATTATATTAAATATTTGTGGCGTCCCTGCTCCTGAGGTAGCCCTTTATGTTAAGTATTTGTGGCGTCCCTGCTCCTGAGGTAGCCCTTAATATTAAGTATTTGTGTGGCGTCCCTGCTATTCAGGTAGCCTATGCAATATGCTTGCCTATATATATATATATTAAATTATTATTACTTTGTACCGGTATTAGATTATCCAACAGTAAACGGCAACAAGAATTTGTCTAACTTGTTCCTAATAGGTAACTTACAAACAAGGATATTTACTTTATGTAACCCTAAATGAAAGTTGAACCTAATCTTAAAGATGACTGATTGCAAATGATAATATTGACAAGCGTTTGAAATACAAACAAAGTTCTAATTAACATCATTCTGAAAAGTTAAAAAAATAATTTTATAACTTATTTTAACAGTGTTTTAGTTAACTTTTGCTTAAAAATTGACAGACATGAAATGCAATACGATTTGTGAAATGAAAATGAACATTTTGTTTCATAGCTGAAAATTTAAATTTTAAAATTTTGATCTTAAAATAGATTTTAAATAAGCATTTGATGTACTCACAGTTTCGTGAAATATGTTTACAATAAAAATACACAACAATATAACTTTAAAGTTATTAGTGTCACTGATGTTGATAAAAGTTCTTCTTTGAAAATAATGCATTATATATATATATTTTCTTTGATATTCAGCTGGTGTCGTTGTTCAATGGTGTATTCTGATTAATTCACAACTCAATCATTTACTGGAAATACATATGAAATTAAATAGTCCGAACGGTACAAAAATAATGTTCAAATGTAAATATTCCTGTTCGAATTGTCGAAACGCTAGCATGCTGTAAGGTCTGGATGTCGATGTTTGGTGTCAGCTTTTAAAAGTCGTCCAACATTTATTAACGGGCCTCCACCAATTATTGTATCAAATGAATAAACGAATACTCCACCAATTATTGTGTCAAATGTATGAACACCATTTATGGTAATATAGAGTTGGTTGATATTTGCGTAATGTAACATGGTCTGCTTACTGTTCTTTTCCCTCAGACTCTCAACAGACGAACTACATCTGTGAGAGCTGGTTCTGATTTTTACATGTTCAGGGGAAACTAGCTTAGAACAATGCCTTTGATGGTGTATGGCATTGCTGCCGATGTAAAGGCAGGCCGGGCGTTGTTGCCGATGTAGAGGCAGGCCGGGAACAACAACAGGAATGAAAACCAAACTATAAAATCAAGAAACTCGCTATTAATATTATAGCGGCTTGATCAGTTTATATACTAATTTCTGAATGTCCTAGTAACCCTTAACTGATTGCAACAAACAAAAGAATGTATGCTTTATGAGTTATAAATAAAGTTGCTGACGCAGGTTGACCGCTGTCTAACTTCTAAGACCTTATGTTAAACTCTGCCAGACATACAACTGGAGGTCAGTCTGGCATCAGCCGAAGTTTTATAGAACAGATAAGTTCAATAGTTTATTAGAGTACTTATCTGACACATTTGAAACATAAAATCAAAGGAATAATTGTAACGTCATTTATATCCAAAATTTATGTCAAATATCTATCACAATACAATCATAATTCAGTTATATCAATATATACATACAATCTCAATGTGCCTGTAAGAAGCCTGTTACTTTGTGGTTGTCGTAGATTTCTGTCTGTCGTGTTTGTTATTCCTTTATTGTTTTGTAAGTAATCAGGCAAGTTTCACAGGTGTTTATACATTTAAACAGGACTGGTGATAAAAATGATCTTGCGAAAATGACCATGAAACTAAATGCTAGTAAATATATTTTTGGTGTATTAAATATGACACTGTGGATCTTTTTTAAATCCTTGTTCCAAATTAAGGATACAGTAAACGGGCAAAGCCACAGATTGTGGTAAAATTTTGCATACACCTTTGTTCGTTGAACTATAACAGAAAATTGAAAAATAAATGCTTTATCTTTTTCAAATTAAAAAAAAATACTGATTGAATTCTTTCAAAGTAGATTAATATTTGCATAAAAAGAACATAAAATGTTCTTAAATTTGTCTTAAAATCATAAAATCTCTCTACTAAAAAAAAACTTGATGTTGTTGGTACATAAATTTCAAAAGTTGTCTCTTTTAAAACACTTTTACACAATTTGTTCATGAAATTTGCTAACATTTGAAAATTTGACATAAAAATTATCTTCAAAACCTAAACAGTATAACAACCAGTCTTCAGTTTATTTGACAAAACAAATGTGAGAAGTATTTATAATTGTTCAAATTGATATGTTTACTGATAAATTAAAATTATAAGAAATTGAACGATATATGCCATTATATATTAACTCCACGCAATCGAACAGCTGAATTCTGATAGAAGTAGAAAAGCTGTATCGTGATATCCTTAAACTTCTTCAGGTATTTGATTTTGTAGCTGGTTTGACCAGAGACAAGAGCTAGATGATGTGCTAGGCAGTGCACATACAACAACTAAGGGCTGATGGCTTTCAACTGGGTAGCAACCTGGAAAATATTAATACAAATTAGAAAACATGTTGAATACGTAATTTGTTTTTGTATTGAAATTTTACAAATATACTCGGATAAAACTGCAGACAAATAAGATTTGATAGCCTATGGATTATTATTTGATAATAAAAAATATCTTGTCCCTGTTTTCCTTCCAACCATAACTAATGCCCCGTCAGAACCAAAACCAATTAGTTTGCTTGTGTCTAATTGGTGAGAGACCCCAAGGGTGACTGGGGAAACGAAATATGGTCACTTGGTCTTCTCCCTACCGGCAGTAAAACGCTTGCCGAAGTGGGGCGTCCGTTTAACTGTGCGGGATGTATCAAGTTCGCAGTCACGTCCGGTCAGAATGGGGACGTTAAATCCGATGCCTCGTGTAAAGAGAGTGCCACGCTCTTTGCACGTGAAGAACCCTTGCAACAACTCTTTGAGGGGTCCGTAGGTGGCCTGTTGCAAGGCAAAATTTCTGTCCCTATCCAATATACCCTCATTTTCCAGTGGCAGTCCAAATTTCCCTGACCATCATCCCAGATGGCCTCTATTATGACAAGACCTACCTATTGTATTAATTGTTAACTTGCTCTCGTCCTGAACATGCATGAAATATTTGCCACTGGACGTAAAGCAACCAACAATCAATCAACTAATCTAATTGGTGAGTTGTGAAGAAGTTCTTAAGTGCTGTCGAGATCGTATCTACTTTGCCATCTGGTAGATCAATGTGATGTAGGAAAGTTGTCTTGAGTTCCATGTTTGGTGTGAAGTATCTTGCCATGAGTGTCATCTGCTTAACAATAGCAATATCTGTAGTTTCATCATTAAGTATTGAGTAGTAGGAGCTGTTGTTCAGTCTGTCAAGAACTGACTTTATCACTCCAATCATTTCTTAATATGTGTAGAAAGTCGCACCACTTATCTATTATATCGTTGTCGTTAAATTTCTTCGATGCAATTCCAGCTTTATTGTTGATCTTCGCATGATATCAAAATCAATTAAATTGCATTGGAAGGAGCATCTAGGTCTTTCATTGTATCATCATCCTCTTGTTTGGCAACCTCTAAGGCTGCATCTGAT